AGTAGGTTTGCATGATTTATCATGTTCCAAGCTTTTATTCAATAGGGTACAGTTAAACAGTAAAAACATGACTTGATCTTCACGGAGACATGAATGGCAAATACTATCCAAATAATACCCAATAAAGAGTTTGCCATAGTGTCCGGTTCAATATTTCCTCATTATTGCTTGATAATAGATGCCGACTCAACTCTGAAGTTCTGGTGTACATGTCATATAATGTGAACCCAACAAGCAGCCTGTCGGCTGAGATAGCTCTGCTGTTAGCAATGCACATTTCAATTAAAGAACTGAAGATATCATTAGAAATGAACAACATGTATAGCAATATGACTTGCTGTTTTCAACAAGAATTCAAAAATATCACTTTTCACCAAAAATGACAAAAATATTCACCAAAATTGGAGAATTGTAGATATCACCATGAAATGAACAAATCTGAGAGAGGTCCACATGTAGTATCTATATATGTAATATCAAAGCAATTGAACTTATGGTTTTCAACAAGAAGTCGAAAATATTACTTTTTACCAAAAATGACAAAAATATTTACCCAAATTGGAGAATTGAAGATATCATCACGAAATGAACAAATCTGAGAAAGGTCCACATGTAGTATCTGTATATGTAATATCAAAGCAATTGGACTTGCGGTTTTTAACAAGAAGTCAAAACAAGCAGCCTGTCGTCTGAGATACACGTAGCTCTGCTGTTAGCAATGCACTTTTTAATTTAAGAATATCATTAGAAAATGAACAATATGTATAGTATCAAAACAACGGGACTTGCAGTTTTCAACAAGGATTAAAAACAAGCAGCCTGTCGGCTGAGATAGCTCCGCTGTTAGCAATGCACATTTCAATCAAAGAACTGAAGATATCATTAGAAAATGAGCAATATATTTACCGTATTACCCCGGGCACGTGCGCCCCTCCCCCTGTTTTCACAAAAGTTACATGTTGGGGACATCCTCGGTTAAATGCCCAGGGTGATTTTTAGCCAAGAACGGTGTCAACAATAAAGTTTTATTTGTCAAAAACAAACACATTTGATTTATTTAAATAGTGTTTGTTACAGTAGTTCTCTTTTTGGAGTGTGTGGTGGCCCTGAAAAGGACCGTTTTGTTTGTGTTTTTACGTAAACACTCATTGGAACTTAATGTCGTAAGATGAACCACGCAGCATGTGGCGCGCACGTTTTGCTTTCTCTTCATTCATCGTACACTCATTGGAACTTAATGTCGTAAGATGAACCACGCAGCATGTGGCGCGCACGTTTTGCTTTCTCTTCATTCACGATGAATCCAATATTGCAATAATCCATACCTTGGTGAGTGGTTTGAAGCACTTAGCTTTGGTTTCAAAACGTAGCATTTTGCTGACTGTGAATCCATAACGGGAGCTAGCAATTTTGAGACATCACGTCGTAAACTTGCCACTTTCTTTCCATCCTTCATCACAGCTAATTGCGATGCGATGTATCAATACGTACGTGAACAAAATTATGCTAATGAGGTCATCGCCATCTTGGATTACAAGCGGTAGTTTTTCGCGGCCATTTCGACTTGCACTGATCACGGTTACTAAAAAGTAACCTTGCATTGATTACAATACTACCACACTTTGTAGCCAATCTCAGTGAGTAATACAACTTCATTCGCTGACATAAAACAAGTTTTATTCTTGAAATTCGACCCTGTGTCTTAGTGTTCCCACAGTTCTTGACTGAGTGCTCACGTTTATTAAAACCTTGCATAAATCAAGAAATAAGTACGTGTACAAAGTGGACGAACACAAAATCACATACGATCACAAAAACAACTTTTTAAAATCTTTTTTGGGGTGGTCCTCGGGTAAGTGCCCACCCCCAATTTTTCCCGATTTTGTATGTTCAGGCCCCTGGGCGCGTACCCGGGGTAATGCGGTAGTATCAAAGCAATCAGACTTACTGTTTTCAACAAGAATTTGAAAATATAACTTTTTACCAAAAATATTCATCAAAATTAGATAATTGAAGATATTATCACGAAATAAACAAATCTGAGGTATCTATATGTATAGTATGAAAGCAATCAGACTTGTGGTTTTTATCAAGATGTCAAAAATATCACTTTATACCAAAAATTACAAAAATATTCACCAAAATTGAAGAATTGAAGATATCATCACGAAATGATCAATTCTGGGAGAGGTCAACATGTAGTATCTATATATGTAATATCAAAGCAATTGGACTTGCCTTTTTTAACAAGATGTCAAAAATATCACTTTTTACCAAAAATGATAAAAATATTCATCAAAATTAGACAATTAAAGATATCATCACGAAATGAACAAATCTGAGAGAGGTCCACATATAGTACCTATACCGGGGTATATGTAATATCAAGCAATCAGACTTGTGGTTTTTAACAAGATGTCAAAAATATCACTTTTTACCAAAAATTACAAAAATATTCACCAAAAATAGAGAATTTGAGATTTTGACATGAAATAAACAAATCTGAGAAAGAACCAACCAAAGTACATATCAAATTTGAAAACATTTTGACTTGCGGTTTTGAAGAAGAAGTTGAAATTGTAAAGTTGACGACGACGGACAATCAGTAATATTAACAGCTCCGCTGTGACGACATTGTTGACAGCCCTTCAATATTTCCTCATTATTGCTTGATAATAGATGCCGACTCAACTTGAAGTTCTGGTGTACATGTCATATAATGTGAACCCAAAAATGTACACACTGACATGTACATGCTCACAATGTGATCTAGTCAATGTCTTTTATCCAGATTAGGTGAATGTAATCCTGCCACTGTTTTAATGTAGTACGGTACTCAGTAAATTAGTGGATATAAACAAAGTTACTGACAAATTAACCATGGATAAAACAAACATCTACAAAAAATACACTTGATTTGATTTCCTCTTACCCATAAGTCTCAATCTGAGTGGTTCTGGTTGCATTGTTTGTATTTCCACTCTCAGGAGTTCTTTAGCAGCATTGTATATATCACTCAATGTGTTTGTAACACAGGAAACTGTCACAGCTCTTGTCTTTGTCTCAAATGTCACCAACTTTATCTTCAATGTGATGGTTTTGCCCTATGTCAATGTATAGTAAGTTGTATATCAGTCTCTATTACCGGTATAAACAAATAAATGTATCTCTCTGTAAAATCTAAAACAGTTCACTACATATTCACTTGATCTACTTAAAATACTCATTTGCTTAAAGAGTTACAGTTGTCTGTTCACATCAACATATATAACGCATATAAAATATTGCTTGTTTACATTAAATTTAAATATGCTCTGCATGACGACTATAGCCAACGAACATCTGATCAGTGCACAACCCAATAACATTCTAATCAACTGACTTTTTACCAAAGAACCCAAAATTTTATACAGGTATAGGCAAGGTAATATGTTCATGGATATGTAGCAGGCAAAACTATCCCATTAAACAGTGAGTTACTCCAAAAACGTTAAATACTTGCAACAGAAAAGTAAAATTCAGTCTTTGAAGCTATAACATTTTGTATTTACCGGTAAATACTTTTTGTTAGTTTTGTGAATGAATACATGTACTGTGCATTATGTGTTGTATCAGAGGTACATTACTTGGGGTTTGCAATGCACATAGTACTGTTTGGTGACATCATGCCAAGATCCCATTCTAGTTTCTTCTCGTAGATAGCGAGACTGATGCTACTACCTTCGGACATGACATAGGCAGTTTGTAATAAATTAATGAAACATGTATTACCACATTCATAGCGAAAAAATGTAATGCATAGAAAATGTACAGAAAATATAGTTATCGTAATTGGTCATATCTTGAGCAGCTATTTTGATACACCCAGACATCCCAGTATCCTAGTTACCTTGGGCATGCGCATTCGCATTTTTCTGAATTGGAACACTTATGCGAGAGCGAGGTTGTAACAGGATCTTGATATCACGTCACCGTAGTTGCAAACCCCAAGTAATGTACCTCTGGTTGTATAAATTATAGAAGTTTAAGTTGAATGGTCGATGGAAGGCGATTTTAAAGTGCATAGCAACTCGTCATTTTGGGGTATTATATGCTGGACATTGTTTTCAGTACACAGACTAA